TCCTCCGTTGCGGGGCGCGCCGCCGGTTGACGCGAGGCCACGGTGGGGCGCGCCTCCTCTAGGAGTCCCGCCCGTGCGTCCACCTGACTCCTCGGCCTTTCTGTAACCCTAGCCGCCGTAGGTTGACGCGAGGCTGCTGCGGGGCGCGCCGCCTCTAGGCGTAGGGATGTCGCGGCGGACGGGGCGATGAAGGGCGACACGAGGCCACGGTGGGGTGCCCCACCTCTGGGCGTTGGGAGGCCGCGACGAATGGGGCGTGAAGCCGGGCGGGGCTGCCGTCGCTGCCGGTGCGGTGCGAAGGCTGCGTAATCCCTTTCTCCCTCTTATCCCCAAGGCGACGAACGAAGCGGATAGGAGAGGAGGGCCCTTCTGGTGCTGTTCTTGTTTCCCCGCTTTCCAAGATGCCGTCCTCGAGCAAGCACCGCGAGATGGACCTCATGAAGCTGTGATCATCTGGACCTCTCAGTTTGTTTTCCAATTTTTGTTCTGGTTGTTTTTTTATCTGGCTATTCTTGCAGGCTTTCTTGGCGTCGCATGATGATGAGCGACTACAAGGTGCAGATGGTGAGCGACGGGATGAAGGAATTCTTTGCCGAATTCAAAGGGCCGGCCGAAAGTAATAACCCTTGCACCGAATCCTGATTTCTCCCCCCTCTCTGCCTCCAAGCTGATGATCCACGCTCCTGTTTCTGATCTAGATGTAGTGGGGGAAGTTCAGTTGCAGGAAAACAACAAGATCCATAGTTTCATGAGTCATGACATTTGTGTCCATAGTTTCATGAGTCATTTTCTATATTTCACATGATACCCATTGTCATAGAAGAGTAAACAATAAAATAGTTCATTCTGTAGACACCAAACCCTATAGAGCAGTTGGGATATCCATTAGAACCTTGAGGCTGAACACTTTTACCATTATATGTATTTATCAGGGTTTCCATAATGCATTTTTTGTGCAATCTCAAAGTGACCACTGACCAGTAACTCTTCTCTTTTAATGAAAATGGCAATTGCAAATGATAGCTGTGTTAATTTATTTTTACGAGTGTCATTGCTGTGAATTCTTTACTTGAATTTATGCTACAGGAAGTTGAACAATCATTTTCTTTTTGGGCCACTGCTAAAGATGATGCTGTGCACCCAGCTGAGTGTATGCACCAGCTGCTTGAGCAAGTTCGACATCACAATGTGAATATCTATGGCAATGTTTGAACTCTCATGGTGACTACATGAGTTCTTGAGGTAACTTACATGACTTGTTTTTACTTCATCGAATTGTACTCTCAGTCTCATACTACTCTTTGATTTGGAGAACATTTGGCCATCTTAGCCATGCTTGTGTTGTTATAGACTCTGCATTGTCGTTGCGATTCTGACTTGATCCTCCTGTAGTTCTTTTGTTTGTCTAATTTCTAGCTAATCTGATGCATTCATTTGTAGGCAGATAGGATTCACGATGTGCCTATGTAAACTGCTTTATGTGGTTGTCTATTTGTGCATTACACCTTTGTTTCTTTAATCGCAAGGATACCTTTCATAGGTATTCCTTTTCCATTTGTGTTCTTCAATTCTTTTCATTTTTTAACAGGGCTGGCAACACAACTTGGATCTAGATTATAATGTTATGAAGACACTACAAACTTTACTTTTTAAGGAAGACTGGGCAAAGTCTCTTCAATACATGATCCATCACTTCTATTCCTAAAAGTGAGCAAATCAAATTGTGCAACCAAATCGATTTGTAGATGTGCATTTGAAAAGAAGACAATTTTTCTTTTTTGTGTTGATAAACAAGTTGCACCTAATTATATTAACTGAGCTCTGTTTGGCCAATTAACCTGCAAGTTTTAAACTCTGGCTTTCTCACATGCTTTGTTGGTTGATCAAAGTTATTTTATTTCATTCACATAAACAACTGCAAGACTAAACAACTGCTGGAAAAAAACATGGGATCTTCTGTTATGCTGCTACTATGCTTTTGTAGTAGCATGATTGTTACTGATATCCATTGCCGTTGCCATTTTACTGCCTTTCCTTATTTCTAATTATCATCTCTTAATGCTTAGGTCGGCCAAGAGGCAGCCGAGGGATGAGGAGGTCACTGTTCCAGTCATAGCGCCACCCCCTATGCTTCCATCTTCATTGCCACCCAGCGAGATGATGGTGGGGATTGTTGGAACTTACGGTGACCAAACAATTAAAAAGGGTAAATTTGTATAGCTATACACAACTGCAAGTCTCAGAGATTCTCTTTCTTATCATACATGTTGTTTTATTCCTTTTCAGGATTTACTATGTGGAGAGATACCATTGCCTATGGTAATCATTCTCCCTTTACTTCATTCAATAGGCTGTCTGTAGTTTCATTTCTCTTGTGCTTGAATCAGCTAATTGTTCCCTTGCTGCTATATACAAAGGAATGCTATATACAAAGGAATGTGTTGTTATGTTTAAACAAAGAAGAAATAAATTATGTTGTTGTTAAGGCATATACTGGTTCACTTGCTACATAAATTGAATGTGTATACTCTTATATGCTTGTCACTGTTATGCAGACTCAATAAGTTATGGGACAAAGTGGTCTGAAATTGCAAATATGTCTTAGGAAGGTAGGCTTTTCTTAATACTTGATTACTATTTTCTGCAAGGTATAACGAAAGGATAAGAAATGAGACATGTCAAATTATCCTTAATTTTCAATTGTCAGATTAATGATTATTATTCTGCAATATGTACTCAGTATGGATGCAATGTAATATTACTTTTTTGATAAGTAGACCACGATTTGATTAAACAGTTCCTTTATTCACTACCTAAAACTACCACCGTTAGAAGCCTAGAAGACTGAACTCACATTATCTAAAAAGAAGACTGAACTCTCAGTTATGTCCAGAACATTAGTCATTTTGAGATAGCAAGCTACTGCTTCATGTATTGTTCAGAAAACTGCTCAATGATTGTTGTTGGAAGAAGGCCTACCATGCACAATGTAATACTGGAATGAAGTCTCGACTATTCATGGTCAGATCATTTGGTCAAAATTTTTGTTCCTCGTGGCACGACAAACATACTTGCTGATACTAATTCTTAAACTGCAAGAACAGTGAGCAATATCTTCTCAAGTACATAGAGCTGAATATTCCCATCACTTTAGAAACTGCTCAGATCAAACTCTGGAGCTGGCTCAATCTACCAATGTAGGTGGCGAGGACAAGAGCACTCCAAGTACAAACCTCCAAGGCTCCAAGTTATCCTGCTAAGAAGGGCAAAAGGTTGAACACATGGTTGGCATAGCTTATTTGGAATCGTTATCTATCACAATTGTTTTGTGATTTTCAGGTGCCTCTTCATGAGGAACCTTATCGCTTGTTCTTATTATATAAGAGTGGATGACAAGGGTCACAATTAAATTTTCCTTTCTTGAAAAAAATTGTACCACAATTGTACCACAAAGATCGTTGGCCTTATACCATTCATTTTTCCTTTTTTAAAAAAGGCAAAAGCTCCACTATGTTTGTTTTAAGATCTACGATGATAATGTTAATTTCACAAACTTTGTTTTTTTTATTAAATGTCACTTTAATGTTGGTATTTGATTTTTACAGTATTATTATCTTATCGTATGATCCGTGTGTTTTAAGTACAAAATGTTAGTTATTTCGTAGCGACGCATGGGCATGCTATCTAGTTCACGTTAATATTTCATAACATAAAGAAGGAAAAGAAAAAGGAGGATTGAGCGGAGGCCCAGGAGGAACGCGGATTGTTTTGTCTGACCAAAGCGAAAGTGCTTTGGTTAATGGTACTACTCCACTCATCTCCGTATCACTGCTAGCAGAGAAAACTGACAGAAGTGAGAAGCGCGACGCCTTCGGCTTTGAACTTTACGCGGCCGCAACGCGAGCCGGCAAAGGCGGGCGGGCAGCCGGAGCAGAGGCGCGAAACAGAGGCAGTCCAGACCGAGACTTTTGCTCCCGGCTCCCGGTTCCTCTCTCTCTTCCGCACTCCCGCTGGCCAGTGGCCACTGGCGCGCGCGCGCATTTCCACGCGCGGCAACTGCTCTGCTGCTACGCTGACAGTGAATGATTGCCGGCCAAGACCGCGAGATGCCACACCACCCAGCAAAAGCCGAGCTAGGCCACCTAGGACTAGGAGTACTCGTGGCATCTCACAGCAGTCTCTGTCTTGGCCTCTTCCAGCCTTGGTTCCCGCGTCCACCAGCCGTTGCCTGCCTCTGCGCCTCTCTGCCTCACTGCGCCTCTGCCTGCCTGCCTGTCTTGGTCACAGCAGTCTCTGTCTCTGCCTCACTGCGCCTCTGCAGTCTCTGTTCTTTTTGTGGCTGCCGTGGATAGGATAGTCGTCCCCTCCCTCTTGATTGGACAAGGACAACCACGTCCGACAGTTGCGGCGACTCTTGTTCTCGGGCGTCCACATGGTGGTCGATCGATCGGCCCAGTTATCACACGGGCTGCTCACACAAGCCACGCTGCTAGGGGCGTGGTTGGCTGGGCTGGCTGACTCAGCCTGGCCCGATGGATGCAATGCAAAGCAGCTGGCTGATGCAGATGATGGCTGTGGCTGCCCAAAGGAACCTACCGGTCCTGACAGTGAGCGCGTTGTGCAAGTGCCCAGGAGGAGTGTTCGGGCAGGGAGGCCCAATGCGCGTTGTGTCTGGGCCTGAATGCCTGTGACCGTGCCTGTGCGTGCACGTATCGGGCAGAGCCCGTGTAGCTTCTTCTGAGTATAGCAGGAGTCTGAGAGAGAGAGAGACAGGCGTACGGCTCCGACCTCTGAACTGTATCTTCTTCCTCCACGCCTCCTGATAACAGAATGTGATGAATCTGCCCAAATCAGTAGATGTGTTCATTAAAGGTACTAGCACGTATCCAATCCCTCAAAGCAACCTCAAACACGCTGCAACGCAAAATCCATCAAAACTCACAAGAGAACGTAGCGGTCGACGCAGTCCTCCGCGTCGTAGGCGAGCTCGCGCAGCTGCTTCATCCACTCCCGGACGAAGTAGTCCACGGCGGCGCCGTCGTCAGCCTCGGCTGCATGCGGAGGAGGGCGTTCATAGTGGCCATGTCGTCCCGCAGCTCAGCGACTTCGCCGCCGACGCCACTGAGCAGCCGGTACTCCTCACTCAGGAGCAGCCCAGAGTTGCTCAAGATGGTCTGGGCAGCCGCCTCCATGATCAGGCCAGATCTCTATGTATCTCTCACACAAAGGCCTCTCCGGTCCCGGAAGGCAATGTTGAGGACATATATATATAGGGAGCAGATCCATGGTGGGAGCCTTGGCGGAGTTTGCTGTACTACTATCTAGCTAGGGTCGACAGAATTGCTAATTTTATATATATAGCAGCTCTCACTATTTAATTTTCTCTGTGAACAGCAAAGATGACTAAATCAATCATCCACAAATTAAATCCCGGTTGGCTATACCTGTACATGTATAAATTCAAAATTTAACTATAGTTTGAAGGCGTCGTCGTCTCTTTGTCATAGTAAATTTTATAAGCTTTCGTTCATCATGCATATACTGGTTAACGTTAATTAACAGATATATATACACAATCAATCAAAAAACATATACTCATCCGATCCCGATCCTAGCTTATAATACAGTAATATATATACATTTTTTTAGGAAAAGTAATATATATACTTGGCCGGCTCGCTCGAGTGGATTTTTTTCTTGTTTTTATTTGGGCTCCATGAATGAATTAAACCCACTTGCAACCGTGACAATCCAATATACAGCTCTTCTGGCTGGATTCCCGCGCCAAACCCATTTGGCCCTACCTAGCTTAGTTGATGCCCATTGCAAGTTGCGCCGCAAGCAATGCCAAAATGATGCCATATATGTGGACTTGTTAGGCGCTCTGATCTTATTATATATATACGTTACGAATGGTTTTATACTACCTCTTGCTTGGAGTTGATCTATGATGAAGGACGATAAATATGTATGCACGCTTGACGCCACTTAAGCTAGGACAACAAATTTATTTCCTTTACCTAAAGCAGGTCATCAGTTGGAGCTTTCATTCACTTAATTAAGTTTCCGTTTGAACAACTACTAGACAGTAGACTTCTCCTAAAAAAAACTACTAGACAGTAGACACTCTCCAACCAAACCGAGGATAACTATTAGAATTATACTAGTATTAACTTTATGCATACGATGTCTGGATCGGTAAGAAAAATTATAGGGTATTTGGTTTATGTGATGTTGCAGCTCTCATTGACACCATTTTAAGGCTCATTTGACCAACTACATCATGCAAAATGTTGCCTATATGTTTGGTTATGTGTCTTGGGTCTTATTTGTGGTAATCTGCAACTTTGAGGGCCTTTCTTCAAAGTGCCCAAACCAGCCCAAAACAGCATCCCGAGCTCACTTTCTCTAGTGGGGCTTGTTCATTTGGTTTTGAGGGGAGAGAGCTAGGGTTTGAGAGAGGAGAGAGTGAGACTTTGATCTACCAAATTCATCCATTAGAGAGCGAAATCGGAGAGGATTTGAAGCCTCCCCCAACCTTGTTGGCTCCCACCTCTTGTATATTCATGTTCATAGTGGATTGCTTGCTCATTGTTGGCCATGGTTTTTCCCCGCAAGGGGTTTTCACGTAAATTCTTGTGTCTACTTGTGATTTGGTTTTTATCTTGCCATACTTGTTGATTGGTTCCTATCTTGCTTGATATTGGTTCCATTTTGTTCAAGTTCATGGTGTACGGATGAGATTGGCATATGATGCATACATGTGTTCTTTGATATGTTGATGATGGAGATTGATGTGTTAGTGAGTTAATCTTTACAAGGATATTCTTTATTGTGAAGTTTGGACAACACCATATTTGTAGAATTGATACTATGGGGCTATTTTCTAGTATGCACATAAGGTGTTCATTGAAATACTTGTTAGTAATTAGCTTGCCAATTTTGATGTTTTTGCTGCTCCTCTGCGCTCGCAGCTTGAGATGTCAGATATCATCCTATCCTAGATCAGATATATCACCTTTTATTTTCAGGCATGGTCCAACTCCATCCTACATAGTTACAAACAATTTAGAACATGAGAAGTGTTGGATCCAAGTTGGAACGAAAGGAGTTAATCAAGCATTGAAGGGGCAACATTTCAACCAAATCAGCAACTTACCGGCGAACATAAAGCATCCATATCACAAAGGCAGTGGATCGGAGGGCTTGGGTTAAACCCCTTGGCCAGTCGGCCCCACACCACTTCGCACTCAACCGTCTTAGATAGTTCATAACCATCTCTAGGAGCATATGTCAGGCATCCAATGAAAGGTCAGCGCATCCCAGGGCTAGTCAGCTCCACCTCCACTTCAGTGCTCCATCACCTATAAAAGGTGGTGCCAGTGCAACACACCTAGCTAGATCACTGTGACACAAAACACTTTGGAACTCTCCGCTTCACTTTGGTTGTGTCTTATAGGCGCCATTTGGTAGCGCTCATGTAGCAACTCCAGGAGTAGTTTTGCCTCCCCAATGACCAAACAACTCCACTTCACACCGCTACTTCCGCAATCTCCGCTCTCTAGAGCTGAACACGACCAAAAGGAAGCCCAAAAATTAGCTTCCCCCGGCTCCTCAACTGTGCGTGTGCCCTCTTCTCCGAAATGCCCCTGTTCTGGCGCTGGTTAGGCGTGGAGCACCAAACAGCGAGGGCGTGGAGCCAATTGGGCACGTGACTACCGAGGCATCGTCTCATTGGGGTGTGCAGCTGTCGAGACTCCATCGCGTTGAGCTGCCGAGGCACCGTCGCGTGGAGTGGTCAGGGCATGGTCTCGTCGGGGCTCCATGGCCATCTTGGCACTATTGTGTAGAGAAGCTCGAGGCTTCAAGTGCATGAAGTTGGAGGCCTTGAGAGTGAGTGGATGAAACCTCGTAGCTCCAAGCTAGTAGATAAGGGTATTATGGACATTTCATAGTTTTTATTTACCGCAAGGAGGTGCTTTACCAAAGGTTTCGCCAAAACAGCTTCATCTCCATCACTAGAGCTACTCGTGGAGCTAAAGTAAAAAAAGCTACTTCACTAGTGAAATAGAGCAAAGGACCCCCTATAGTTAGTTTAGTGTAGCAGAGAGTTAGAGTCGAGTCGAGCTTGTCTCAATTTTCCGAAGTCATCCTCACATTTTGGTAAAGCTCTAATATCCTTTACTTTTTCTCTTGTAAGGCTTTGAGACTTTTGATAGTAGTACTTTCCCATTTTACTTTGAGCTATGATTTATTTTTTGCAGAATAGTGTCAAATAGTATCTTGCTTGAGTTAGTGTATAATGCTTTCGTTGCTTACAAGGATCTCGCCTCATGCTTGTGGAGCCCAGTTGAATCTCGAGTATTACTAAGAAAGGATTATCCGGCAAATCGAGATGAGGATAGGGTAGGACTCGGCCGTGAGGATCTGGCCTCATTCTAGTAGAGCCTTGTGCTTTTTAACCAACCATTACTGAAGAAAAAAAGTGGCGCCCCTCACTACTACAAAAACGTTGTCACTGTCGGTTCGGAAACCCTCATCACTACCAATTTAGCGCTTTGGTGGTGATCCTCAGGTTCATCACCACTAGTTGAAAACCGGCGGTCAAACCTAATTAAAAAATTACAAAAAAGATACTCGGCCACCAGGGCAACCACCCTAACGTAGATCTAGGCCCTCGGGTCGCACCTTCGGCATCCACCTGCACCTGTGCCGCCTGTTGCCCTCGTGCCTATCGCCGCCACTCCATCGTTCGTCTCCATCACATAGATCTGAGTTGGGGCATCGTGCCGTGCTATGCCCTCGTCCTTGTCTTTTTGGAGATTCGGGTCAGAGCCACTGGAATGGGCGCCTTGGGTGAGAGAGGGCAGGTGAGGGAGAGAGAGGGGTGGCACTGGGCCAGAGATAGATAGATAGATAGAGAGAGAGAGAGAGAGAGAGAGAGAGAGAGAGAGGTGCTGGGGGGGGGCATATGGGGACTGGTGGGCTAGGATTTGTAGCCGGTTATATAGGTACTCAAGGTCGTTTTCCACCATCAGTTTGTGGCTTAAACCGGTTTTCACTGCCAGTTTGTGGATTAAACTGGGAGTGAAAACTGGCCGATTTTCACCTCCGTTTCCATTATGAACCGGCCGTTGATATATTATCACCAGGGGTTTTAATAGAATAAACGATAAAAATACCGTTGGCGAAAAATGTTTCTGTAGTAGAGATCTCAATTATTTCTGTAGTAATATAGTACCTAACACACAGCGACTTAACATACATTTCTGTTGTGTAAGAAGCAAGGGGTCTCTTAGTATGCTTATACATAGGACTTCCTGGGAAAATGTTTTTGATTGCATATGATCACTACCGGATATAGAAGATTTGCCGAGTGCCAGGGGCACTCGGCGAAGTCCCAAAAACACTCGGCAAAGGGTTTGCCAAGTGTTACACTCGGCAAACGACACTCGGCGAATTTTGCCGAGTGTTTTCTGTCGGGCACTTGGCAAAGAAGTTGCCGACTGAAAAAAAAACACTCGGCAAACTTTTTTCCAAAAAAAATAAAAAAGGCACGCCGACACCACTGCTGCACCACCAGCACCGCCACCACCATCCACGCCGCCGCCATCACGCCGGGGAAGAAGGGAGGGCCCCACCACGCCGCACCACCACCATCCACGCCGCCGCCACCACGCCAGGGAAGAAGGGAGGGCCCCACCACCACGCCGAAAACCCCGCCGCCACACCGTCGGGGAAGGAGGGGGCGCCGGATCCGCGCCGCCACGCCGCCGTGGAAGGAGGGAAGTAGCTGGATCCGGCGAGGGGGCGCTGGATCCGGTGAGGGGACACTGGGAGAGGGAGAGGGCAGGGTGCTGCCGCGGTGGGAGAGGGAGGGGGCAGGGCGCCGCTGCGCCGGAAGAGGGAGGGGGAGGGTGTCGTCGCGCTGGGAGAGGAGGGCCGCGCGCAGGAGAGGTGGGCCGTGCCGGGAGAGGAGGGCCGCGCCAGGAGGGGGGAGGGCGCCACCACGCACGGAGAGAGGGAGGCGGGGCGCACGGCGGATTTGACGAGAGGGCGCGCGACAGATTTGGAGAGAGGAGGCGCAGGGCGCGCGGCGGATTTATATTAAATTTTGTTTGCCAAGTGTTCTGGATCCGAGCACTCGGCAAACTTTTTTTTTTCTTCTCCTTTTTTCTAAAAAAATATTTTT